TCTCGGGGAGGAGCATGAGATGGTAGTCGTGGACCCAGATCATGTCGCCGTCCTGCACGTCTTTGGCCATGGTCTTGGCGAAGAGGCGGTTCACTTGCTTATATGCTGACCAGGCGGATTCGTCGAATGTGATTTCTCCGGGGTGGTAGTGGAAGAGCGGCCAGAGGATGGAATCTAGAGGTACATCAGCATATAATCCGTAAGTTATGGGCATAGCACTTACTCGAAAACCCGTTGTAATGGCGATCCGCGAGCTCATCATCAACAAATATGGGCGTCGCGCCGTATTCGTCCCTCAGACGAGTAGTCAAGTCCTCGACCTCAGCCTCTGGAACCTCCAGCCCAGGCCATCCGTACCATTGGAACTTGGTCGTCTTCGCCAAGCCGCTGAGGCCCGTGACCAGGCCGCCAGAGGACATGCTGAAGCTGTACGTGCCATCGTCGGAGCGCTTGATGGTTATGGGCAGGCGGTTGGAGACGAGGAGGAGGCGTCCCGAGCCGTCCTTGGTGGGTTGCACGGCGCCGCGCATTTTTGATAGGTCGTGAGGGGTGTTATTTCGTTGATGATATCGGGGTTTGGGGAGCTTGCGCAGGATAGCTCTGCTGTGTTGAATATCCTGTGCAGCTCAAACACAGGCCCAGTTCGCTCGGTGGAGGTGCAAACGAAGCCCAAGACAGGTACTTGGCGGGGTAACAAATATAGTGAGCTGTGGATTGCCTCACCAAGTCATCCAAGTATGAGTCGATTCTCCGATTATTTAGAATGCAATAAGATATATAGAAAGTGACAGTAGGCGTCGATATCGTACGTAGAGGTTATAGGTTATAGGTTATAGAGTTGTGTTGGTTCGTAGATTTCGTTCGTTCGTTTCCAAGTTGCGGCGCAAAGGGTATGATGATGTAGTTTCGTCCCGCACCGCAAATCACCCCAATCGCAGCCACGGAATCGAAAACGGACGGAGGAGGGGCCAGCCTAAACCCGCCGAGCGAGCGCACTTGGACTTGCTTGGCCCTTGTTCTCCAACCACCGCCAGCCCGCCAATTACCGCTAGGCCTACATACACAGTGAACAGCACCAGCCCAACAGAGGGAAAAGGTTCTAGAAATGCCCCTCACCCGGGCAATTCGGAGGATTCAAGGTTCGTGAGAGGAATTTCATACAATTAAAAGCCTCAAGTCCATGGTGGTTCCATACAGACGCTGCTCCGACGCCACATGTCTTGCACCCTCCACGATCTGAGCACGGACTTGGCAGCAAAATAGCCATGGAAAAAGATTGCTACCCGATCAAAATAAATGACGATGGCATCGCCAAACTCTTATTATTATCGCCCAGTGCAGGCATGTCTCCATTCGGCCCGCGGAGCCATTCATCCATGATTGCGGAGACCCCGTTATATATAATTTTCGTGAACGAAAAGTTCTCCCGGGTGTTTTGGGGAGGGGTGAGATATTTTATTTTCCGCAAAGCTGAAAATCACTCGTGGTTCACCGGCCGATAAAGAGAGGTTGCTGATTTTGGGCTGCTGCTGTGCGAGGGCTGGTCAATGGAGGCGGGGGGTGTCTAGAACAGGGATTTGTGAGGGCCAGAACAATCACCAAATGCAGCCACAGATATCTTCAGCCTATAGCCACCGGCAGTGTCACAGGTAATATAATGCCGATACAATGCGATTTACCACCGACCAAAAAAATGCCTCTTAAGTATATATTCCTCCTTCCCAAAACCATTGTATGCTACGCTACCTCTCCAATGCAAACATGCTATTGTAACCATCGTAAGCTTCATAATTCGTGTCCACCCATTCTACAGCCACAGCACATCCCAAACAGCCATCCTCACAATCATCTCCTCCGCCCAAACTTCCCTCCAACCCTCCCCCCCTTCGCCCCCGAATTCTTCATCTTCATCCTCTTATAATTCGTATGCGCCTGTGCCCCAACCTTCTGCCTGCGTCCCGTCGCCTTCTGCTTGCTCCTCTTGTACCTCGTCCCTCCCTCCGAGGCTGTATACTCTGTGCCGCTATCCGAGCCCGAGTCAAAGTTGCGGACTGCCTTGTAAAGAGGTAGCGAGGCTGCTTCAAAGCCTTCCTGCGTGTCTGGGACGAGATCCGGGTTCTGGGTATCCCCGTCTTGCGTGTCGTCCTCCCCAGCACCGTACTCGTCATCTTCACTATCGGAGTAAGTCGTAGGTGCCGCCTCTTGAGCTGGCGCTTTAGTCCTCACAGGCCTAATATTAACCTTCCTCGTCGTCCTCTTCTGGCCCTTCTTCTTGTAAACAGGCAGCTTGCTATCCCTATCCGCAATCGCCTGCTCCCTCTCCCCCAGCTCATCATCCCCGTCCTTGCCATCATTATTGAAATCCAGATCCGGGAAATCGATAAAGGGGAAATCCGTAAGCTGCTGGCTATCACCGACCTGAACGCTTTCTTGCAGCTTCGGAGGTTGGGGCTTTGGTAACACCTGCTTCGGACCAGCATTCGGAGGCGGCGGGCCACTCTCCATCTCTCGCAGGGCGTCGAGGTCATCATCCAGCGCTTCTTCCTGCATCTCCCTCAAGCTCGCCAGCATACTGCTCAACCCCCTAACAAGCGACCTCTTCGGCATCCTCGGTGCAGGCGGCGACAATGCATCCCCAGCATCCTCACTTATAGCCGCAAGCCCACCAATCCTATTATCCCTTCGCAGAAACGAAGGCGTAGAGAGGTTCAGCTTCGACACCGAACTCGGCGTCAACGACGCCCTCTTAGCACTCCCCTCATTGCTCCCCCGCCTCCGCTTCAGCGGCGTCACAAACGTATCCAGCAGAAAGCGCTTACTGCTCGACAGCGGCGTCCTCTCATGCCTCGCCGCGCTCGGCGTAGCCAATATCCCATCATCGGCAGCCCTCGACTTCCGCGGCGTCTCTTGGATGCTTGGGGCGTCTGCTGGGGCAGCCGGTTGCTTCAAGGGGGAGACTTCGTCGCCGCTGGGCATGGCGTCGAAGATGCCGAGGAACTTGCCATCTTTCTGCGGCGTGGGCCCGATGACACGGGGCTTCTGGGGGGTGAAGAGGAGGCGGTTCGCTGAGGGGGTGTCAAAGGGGCCGGCTGTCGAGGGGTGAGGGCGTGTCTCGGACGGGGTATGGGATTCTACCACTGCGCGTCGTTTGGCGGGCGTCCCATGTGTATTGGAAGGGGATTTTCGTTTTGAGGATCGGGGCGCGGTGGTTTCTGGCGCCTTGGATTTTGGTTTTGGGGGAGGCTTCGCGGGTATTTTGCCAGCGAGAATATCTCGAATTCGATTATAGTCTTTATACTTTTGAGCTGCGTGATAATGTCAGACGGTGTCCATCGTACCCAAGGAACGGAGCGCCATACCTATATTAGAGTCCAGCTTAATATCCTCCCTCCCAGCCTTCCTCCCCCCATTCCCCGCCGCAAACTCCCTCTCCCAAACCTTCAGCTCCTGCCTCAAAGCAACCGACTGCTCCGTCAAAACATTTCGCTCTCCCTCATCCATAATTCGTGTTTACTGTTTACTGTCGTAGCAATCCCGTCTCGAAGAAACGTCACTTCCAGCACCTGACGGGACGACGCGACCAGAAGCGTGTACCCAGCTAAACTAGCGCGTCCCGACCGCGCTCTTATCGTTATCGCACCCAACCCATTTATCCACCCAGTCCCCCATCCATCGCCCCCCCTCCATCCATCCCCCATCTCCATGGCCACCGACGACGCCACAAACTCCCAAGTCCTCCAAACGCCCCTCCCCGAGATCAGCACCCGCGCCAGCGCCGACCCCGAAGAATGCTGCGTAATATGCCTTGACGCCCTCACCGAGCCGGCCCGCGCCTCGCCCTGCCGCCACTCAACCTTCGACTTCCTCTGCCTGGCCAGCTGGCTGCAACAGCGCAGCTCCTGCCCCCTCTGCAACGCCGAGATCTCCGCTATCCACTACGGCTTCAGCGACTCCGGCACTTTGCACAAAACCTACGCCGTCGCATCGACCAAGTCCGCGCCCCCCTCGTCGGGGCCCCAACAACCACAACGCAGCGTCCCGAGTCGACGGCCTCGGCGGCGGTACGAGCATACCCCGAACCGGGACCCGGATGATGCGCTTGCGAGACGGAGGGCGGTGTATGCGCAGAACTTGTATTCCCTCCACGTGGGCTCGAACCGCATCTCGCGCTTCCGCGATTTCACGCCGCAATCCCTCTCCGCCTCCCCCGAGCTACAATCACGGGCGCGGACGTGGATACGGCGGGAGCTGCGAGTCTTCGCATTCCTGCACCCCACAGACGATTCCACCGAGGACAGCGAGAGGGGAGGGGTGCCGAGACCGAGGAGGAGGGCGGGGGATAATGCAGAGTTCCTGCTGGAGTATATCATGGCTGTGCTGAGGACGGTGGATGTGCAGGGGGCGGGGGGGCAGGCGGAGGAGCTGCTGAAAGAGTTTTTGGGGAGGGGGCATGCGAGGTTGTTTTTGCATGAGGTGAGGGCGTGGTTGAGGAGTCCGTTTGCGAGGGTGGAGGATTGGGATCGGAATGTGCAGTATGCTGGGGGTGTGAAGGTGGGGGAGGGGGAACGGGGTGGAGGGGGAGGTGGTGATGGGAGAGATGGAGAGAGGAGGAGGGGGAGAGGGGGGGTGGATAGGTATACGCCTTATGGAGGGGGTAGGAGGGGTGTTGAGGAGGCTAGACAGAGGTATAATCCTGATTGAATATGATGGTGATATAAAATAATAATATAAATCTTGGAGTGGTTATATATTTCGTGTATGTTCTCATGAATAAAACCACAACCTCCCAAACATTTATTTATTACCTATAGTGTCTATCCTCACATAACCAGCCCTAGTATCTCATACATACCCTTATGTTAATTAAATTACTAGAATCAATCCATTCTACACACGCTGTTGTCTTGACTCGTCCAGTTCTTTTCCATTATGGATAAAATCAACAGAAATGGTGTGATGTTGATAATCCTCTTTTTCCGACACCCCTGGAAATCCAATATGCTCCAATGGCGCAATGGTAGCGCGCAAGACTTCTACTATAGGCACTAATTATAGTCTCTCTGTTCATCTTGAGGTTGAGGGTTCGAGCCCCTCTTGGAGTGATTTTTTGCCCCTCTTGGAGTGATTTTTTTTTGCCATTATATGTACTATTCTACTCAATTTCTTTATTTTAATGTCAATATACACTTTAAAAAACCCTCTGCATGTTTTTTTGTAATGCAAAAGGAAATGAATTCACCACCTTCCAAATCCCTTTTTTTTTGCGATTTTTACTGCACTTCACAATCAATCCGTGGGGTCTTGGCGGGGAAATGGGCTTCCCTAGTCCCTCACCCACCTCAGCGGGTCGGTTCATCCTTTAGCGGGGTGTAGCGAGCTGAGCAGAGGGTCTGGATCGTTTACATGGGCCTCCACACATAAAATAACTTGCTTGTTTTTGTGTATCTTGTATCTTGTATCAAGATATTCCCACCATCGGATGTACGGACATAAAAATGCAGGCAGTCCCATTTTTATGTTCCTGTTCCTGTTCCAAGGCATTCTTTTCTGTCTCGAAAGGAAAGTGCAAATACGAAGCTGAAGCCAAGGAAGCTGCTTACTTACCCTCCCTCCTATCCCCTCCCTCCTATCCCCTTCCTCCTCCCGTCTGCATCTCGTAACCGCTGGTTTCCTGCATCCCCATTCCTCACATCCTACACAGCACAGCACAGTTAGCAACCCAAGCACGCCCAGCACCGCGCGTCCCCAAGTCAACAAAAACCCCATCCCACCCCATCCATCCGTATTACCCTTCACCCATTCCCTCCAGCCCAACCCCAGCGCGCGGCGTCCAATATCCGCACAGACATCTGCATCTCCTCCGGAGCTATCCCATCCCATCCCATCCCACCTATCTACGAGCTCCTGCCCTATCCTGTCTCATCCTGTCCTTCTCGGGCCCAGCCCAGGCGGGTACGGCTACGACGGCGGCGGCGGCGGTGGAAGGGGGGCTAGGGGCTGGGGGCTAAGAATAGAAGGTCTGGAATTGCTTGGGAGGGTGTAGCGATAACGGGGGGAAGTAGTGCGAGTACGGATTGTGTTGGGGAGCACGCCGGGGGGTTATATCATCGGGGTTTTTGGTGGTGGGATTGGGATTGGGGACCTCCTGGATTGGACGATTGTACGGAGTAGTGTATGTGTGCTGTACTGTAGTGTCGTACATATGGGGCGGACGAGCGATACGCGTTCGAGGTCTTGGAGGAAAGGTATACCGCGTCCGTTTGTTCCTTCGCTTTCCACTGACGGAGTGAGTCTAGGCGCCTGTTGCACTGGAAGCACAGCAAGCATGTTTTGTCTCATGGACCGTATCACGTGATACTGTCTCTAAAACCGCGCCCAGTCAGTCACTTGTCTATACAAGAGGTGAGGCGGGTGGGACAACAGCAAGTAGACAAGAGATGGGCAGGCTAAATTTAAAACAGGTAAATGATTGACCTGTGGGTGTGTTGTTTATTGAGTTTTTTTTTGGAGCCTTTCTTTCTCCACGGTGGAGACTGGGCGGCCGGGTGAGTTCTGGATGCTGGTGATGGGACTTTTTTTTCGGTGTGGGTATGATGTCTGTGGCGGGGAGTTGTGGACAGGGAAGTGGCGTTATTTTAGGTGTTTGTTTTTTGTGTGTGTGTTTGTTTGTTTGTTGGGTGAAGTACTTCTACACATGCGCATAAATATGTGTGTTGTGTGAGTGAGCTGTTTGTACAGAGCTGTGGGTTCTGGTGTGCTGTGTGCTTGCTGGTGGGTGGCAGTTGATTGAGCGAGGCCCACGAAAGAAAGTGGAGAGCTTGGATGGGGCACGTGAAGGCGGTTGGTTGCGGGAATCGGTCGGCGGCGCCGGTAAAGCTGTCTGTTGTCTGCTGTCTGTAGATGGGATGGCATGTGTGTGGTGTTGTGTGAGGACCGTACCGCACGGTAGGAGTAGTACCACGGTTTGGCTAGGTCGGCTTCTCTCTCTCCCCTTATCATTCTGTCATTCTACTAGGTAGTTGTATATATGACGCAAAGAAGTCATGGATTGGAATTGATTGAGGCTGAGCAGAATGTAAAAGTAAAGCCGTTTGGTTTTTGGATGCATTTTCTAATAACGCATTTATTGCTATTATTGCTATTATTGCTATTCTTGGTTTTATGCCTGCCTGTGTGTATGACATGTACGACATAACCCACCCCCCTTCATCAACTCCTTCTCGGCCCTGTATGCACAGCTTAAAATCCGGATGACACACACAGACCACATAACTCCGCCACAATACATTTTTTTCACAGTGTGTGTGGTCATATCATGGATTTTACTACTACGGACTTATGAAATACAGCGAGCGTTACGGCTGTTTTTTCTCTCTCTTTACAGGGCGGTACGTACCACGCCGCTGACAGGGGACGCGACGGCGGAACTGCAGGAACAGCGGACAAAACGGACCCTCCCATTTTTCGCTAAACCGCAGAGATTGTGGAGACGGGAGAATGGTGGGGCGGGGCGAAGTGGACAGCCAATGGATGCATCCATTGGCTGTCCACTCCGCCGTAGAATGGCCAATCGGCGCTGGAAGGGGCTAGAGGGAGATTTCCTGTCATTTCGCTTAATGAGGGAGCTAGGCGGGATGAGGTATTAGTGTGGCCGTGGTGTTTGGTGGTGTGTATCGTGGTGTGTACTATTTTGTGTACTATTTTGTGTACTAGGTATCGTTTGTGGTGATGATGGGAGATGGTGGGTGGGAGATAGATGGAGTGTGTGTGAGGAGACTCAGAGAGAGGAGAGAGAGGTGAGGCCTGAGGTGCTGGGAATGGGATGGATGAGTGAAACGGAACATTCCCGAGACGTGTCACTTGTACTCTTGTGGCCATTTGTGCTAGGGAGACCAGCCAAGGAGTACAAGGGGTACAAGGGGTACAAGGACTGCTGCTAACACCCACAATGCGAGACACAAGCGCACGCCAGCCCAGCGACAAGCCAGTCCGTCCCAGGCACCACGGCAGGAAAGGGTGTCGATCTTCAACTTTGTGCTGTCCTGGTGTTGTCCTGTTGCTGTCCTGCTGGTGTACTAATGCTGTATGGCTGTACAATACATACTCTACTGGAGAATCTACTTACACTTACTATGCACTCCCTCTTGTAATATTTGTACCCCTCCCAGCGGTTATCTGTAGCTACTATACTGCATTTCATTTCTGTTGCTCTTTGCCCGCTGGCTTGCTAATCCCCTCCCGCTTCCCTGTGCCTGTGCCTGTGCCTGTGCCTGTGCCTGTGCCTGCCTGTGTCTGAGTCTTTTCCCACTTCCCGGAGGTACCTGTCCAAGTACCATTTCTATACCATACTTCCCCATCCTTTCCCCCCCCCCCCCCCCCCCCCCCCTGCTATTTCGGACTCTCTCAACTCAACTCACACGTACCTCTCGGGTTTGTCTCTCTCTCTGTCTCTCTCCTCCTCTCTCTTCATCACGAAACGCCATCATCGACGACATTTACCTTCCTTCATCCATCATCACACTCTCTCGTCTGTTCCATCCAACTTGATCACGACTGTGTGATTCACGACACTCGCTTTATTATACCCCCCGTCGTCGATACCTTTGTCGATTCTTCCGACCGCTCATTCATTCCGAGGTCCCCGGGTTACTCGATACTTTGCCAGCAACGAAACAGATCCGATAGATCTGACGAGAGAAACAAATCACGAACGCCATCGATCTATTTGAAGCGGCATTTTCAGAAACGGACAAAGGCAGGACAAAGAGCATCATCTGTCAAAAGGGTCTAGCGTCACGAACCTCGACCCCATCGAAGCGTCCTTAGGGTGGTCGACGTCCATTTCGACATCAAACAAGCCAAAACTGCTGATTTCCCCATCTACTTCGAGGCCACGGCCAAACATATCCACCATGCGCTCCTCATCAGTTCTCGCTGCCGCCCTTGCGCTGCTCGCCCCGTCGCTCACAGATGCCTTCGCTGTTGGAAAGGTGGGATGCTACAATACCCTACCCGGCTTCACAAAGGTATACACCGAACAGTACCAAGCGGCATCCATATGTGCGACTCGTTGCGTGCCGTTGAAGAAGCCGATAATGGCAATCAACGGCTTTGATTGCTGGTGCGGTGCTGCTTTGCCTCCCGTGGCGGACAAGTTGGACGACGCGGACTGCGATCTAGTGTGCCCCGGCTATGGCCAAGATATGTGTATGTGACTTTGCTTGGTTATAAGGTGATATCTCGCTGACATCAAACAGGCGGATCAATAGATGGCTCATACTTCTCCTTATGGAGCGACGGCATGACAGACCCGGCCAAGAACTCCATTTCCTCGTCCTCGACCCAGCCCACTTCATCCAAAACATCAGCAGCATCAGAGACCAAGGAAACTAGCCCGTCTGTAGTCACAAATTTTGTCGGAGGTGAGTCCATTCTGTCCTCCTAATTGCAGTCCTTTGCTCACATGTCCAGGCCAAACTGTCATCGTCACCCAATCACCCGCAGCCACGGAATCCCAAAGCAGCAGCTCGCCGGGACCGAATAAAGCCGGCATCGCCGCAGGCGTCGTTGTCGGCGTGATCGTCATTGCCGCGGCAATCGGAGGGATGTGGTTCTTCCTGCGCTCCAGGAACCGCCGCGAGCTCGAGGATGCACACAGGCGCCAGGCTGCCATCAACGCCTTCGTCAAGTCACCCAGTGACGCACCCGCGTTTGACACGAGACTCGAGCCAGCTATCATGCGTAGGATGAGCGCCGGCAGCATCGCTGACAACCAAGACTACTCGAGGAGAATCCTCAAGGTATGTGCAGCATCTCCTCGCTAGCTGTCATGGGACACGTGCTAATCATGTTGCAGGTCACGAACGCATAATCCTCACCACTGCAGGGCAGTGGCAGGCCAAATGCTTCGACTCACGACAATGACTTTGTATTTCTCTTGTAATCGCATGCGGCCGTCTTTTTCCTAATCGTCCCCGCCCTGGTCTTTAAAGCCCGACATTATAAATCGGACAAATCTCCCTCCTACCTCCTCGAACCCAGCTGTCCAGTTTTCTCGATCCGATAAAAATCCGATAATAGTTTTTGCTTTGGGACGACCTCG